GGTAGGAATTTTTGTGACATTATTCTACCAAGTGTAAGCTGCCTTGTACTATACAATCCCTTAGATTACTTGTCTAATGAAATGCTTGAGGCTGATAGAATGAGAGTAGAAATTTGGACCTCTCTATTATGTTTCATAGTCTTAATGGATGGAAATGACCCAGTGAGCTATAGTTTTATTCATAATCTCAAGGCATAGGTGGTCAAAGTGGTTGGTGCAAACAATATGACATATTGGGTTTCATTATTGTCGTGAGTTGGGGACCCCTTACCCGCGGCTCTACTTTTATATTAATAGGAGTCATTGTTGTATGCCCATACGTAAATGATCCAAATTGAATCTGCACCATTCTATAGTCGATCTGACGCTCACAGATGTCCGATTGTGTTTAAATTTTAATTTTTTTTTCTACGAGTCCAAATCACTTTAAATTTTAGGTGTGAGTTTTTCTCATCAAGGCGCACTTAATAAAAATATAAAAATAATAATTCATGGAAAATTTGACCAAAATACCTTCCAAAACTTTTTGAAGGTATTTTGGTCAGTTTATTTTATTTTGAAGTACACACATCTAAAATTTCAAGTGATTTGGATTTATAGAAAAAAATTAAAATTTAAACACTATCGGACATTCGTGATTGTCAGATCATCCGAGATTCAATCTGGGCCGTGGGCGTTATATATATATACGGGCCACTGGCCTACAGCTACATATGGGCTCAACAACCCAAATTCAATATGGGCCGATCTAACAGACATTACCTCATTTCGTGTTTTAATTTTTTTCTACAAATCCAAATTATGTAAAATTTTAGGTGTCTATTATGCTCATCAATTTAGGGGTATTTTTGTTAATTTATTTTTCACGAAATATTTTTTTGATATTTTATTGGATTCTAATAATTTTAAAGAACACATGTCCAAATTTTTAAGTGATTTGAATTTATATAAAAAAATTAAAATTCAAATACGAAATGCAATCGTGATCATTGGATTGCCCTAGATTCAATCTAGGCTATTGGGCTCATACATAGCTGGAAGCTAGTGGACCTATGCCAATATCTCCATATATATATATATATATATATCTGTGTGAAAAAAACTCCTGGCAGCCCATAGGCCGATGGAATGGTGGGAGCCCAATGGCCCAGATTGAAGCATCACTCTTTTTCTTTCTACGGAATCATTGTCTACGTAAATTTTAGAATACCATCTCCTTTGAAAGTATAATTTCAAAAATACCACCAATTTCAATCAATTTAAGAGAAAATAAGGTTTTAAGAACAACGAAACTTCTATTCATTGTAAAATTAAACCTAAACATTCTAAAGAAGAAAAAAGAATAAAATAGTCATATAAAGTGGTGCATGTTCCAAATTGATGTCCTCTCTCTCTCTCTCTCTCTCTCTTAAAATGGTGGAACGATCATATAGGAAGAAAAATACATGCGAAGATCGTAGGGTTAATCACATCAACATCATGTTTCATTGGGATAAGCAATTGGTTCACAAGAAAAATCAAACAAAAATTCTCACCTTCCCCCACCACCGATTTTAGACATTTAAATAAACAAATCGCAAGATCATAATCCAACAACTACTACAGTCAAACCTTAGATAGATTCGATCCACAAAACTCTTCATTAATCGATCTACTAAACAATTTATAAGCACTTACATATTTTAAGAACACTACAAGACCATATCTAAACATTCCACAAACTATCGTTGACATTCAAAAAAGAAAAAAAGAAAGAAAAAAATACAATCCACAAACGAAGATACTCTTTCTATCTCTCCCCTTTTAAAACAAATTAGGTATAGGTGGAAAGCATGCAATAAGCACCCAACCTTCTAACTTGAAATGAACTATACAAAAAGTGAAAAGAAAATGAGTGGGATGATAATCTTTTCCCGGCCCTCTCCCTAATCATGGAATTTGAAGTTTCAAAAATAGTGCGAGTTTAGTTCATCTTCGAAAATTTGAAAATGAATTGTTTGGATAATCATACAAAATCTATAACTTTTTTCATATCCGTAATTTTTTAGGGAAAAAAAATCAATTTGAGAGTTTTTCTTTGCATAACTCCAATTTCATGAGCTATTTTAAGTATGATCTTCAATCCCCTTGTTTAATTTAGGGTGTGGTTTACATAAGGGTCAATCTTAAATAATTAAAATAAGGCACACCTCCAAACCCGGCCAATATGTATTTTCAGTACAAATGACCCCTATAATGGCCTGAATATCTATCTCTATCACTAATTATGAAATTTAAAGTTATACATATGAAACATATCTATGAACATTTGAAAATGGACGGTCCAAATAATGTATTACAAGATGCACTACTCTTTTAATACTTAAAATCATTTTCTTTTGTATCCATGTAGCTTGAGATCAAAATGATCAAAGGGTTTTCTAGTGTAAGAACAACCTTTTTCAACTTATTTTTACAATGCGCCTAGTAAGAGCCTCCCCCTCCAAAAAAATAAAAAAAAAGAATGGTAAGAGGATTTTTAGTATAATTTCAGCATAGTTTTACCGAAATTTCGAACTATTGGGATGCTTTTTGGAGGAATCAAGGCTTGCTTGAAGGGGGGGAGTTGGGCCCACACGGGGCCTCTCTTTCGGTTGCTCTTTCTCGAGGACCCAAAAATTCGTCCTGAATCACGTCATGAGCCCTTAAATTCCGACACGTGTCCACGAGAATCGGACATTTGGGTCCACCATGGACCCATCATCAGTCTTATGTTCCTTTCTTGAGAGGGTCTAGCTTCCGTCATTTTCTTTGTACTTCTCTTTCACGACCACTATTTCCACCCATATTATTGCTATTATGCAATGTTTTACGTTAATAAGGTTATTTCCACCCGAAACATATGTGGAAATATGACTTTTTCGGTTGGATGGGCGCATGTTTTGGGTGGGAATAGGAGAACCTAGGCTTCAAGCAGATCGCGTTTCTCCTTTGCCCTTTTATTTACTCATTTGCCCTTTTATTGACTCAACTTGTAGCAACTACGCCTTTCAATGGCTCGTTGAAAATGAAAAGGAAACCCTTAAAATCTACTCATATGGCAAGAGGACCCATACCTCGGGGTCCAATTTCATTAGATTCTCTCTTATCTAATAACGGCCCAAGTTTCTAGTTTTAGGCTCGAAATCAATGATTTAAAAATGAATCGGTGACCTGGATTGGGCGACCTAAAAACCGGTCCAGATAAGTAAAATTAGCTTTCCAGATTATCGCCTATTGTGTGGAAAAAATAGTGAACTGACGAAAAAACACGTGAAAAACAGTAAACCGGCCAAAAGATCGATCTGAAATGCTGTTTTATTGTAGAGAATCGTTGTTTTACTATGTAGGAGTGTTGTTCCCTTCTAGACTCATATGTTTTCCTATATATACACAAAATCGAAATGGGATGACCAATTTCCAGGTCGGACAGGTCGATTTTGTGTCGACCTAGTGTTTTTTAAATTACTGCTCTAAACTGAAGCTAAGTGAATCACTCCCTCACTATAAATCAATATATCAATAATATTATACAAAGGGTGAGGCTTATGTAAGGTTGACATTTTAAATAATCAAAGTAAGGTGCATCTCAAAATGATGCTAAAAGATATTTTAGTACCAAAAATCATGTGATGGTCTAAAACCTTATTTTTATCTCCAGATCTAGCAGGTTTACGAACACTCAAAAATATTGGAAATAAATGGCTCAGATAATACATTACTAGAAACACTATTTTTAGGATTTAAAATCCTTTTTTCTTCATATCCATATATTTCAAAGTCAAGATGATCAATTGAAGGGTTTACTAACATAGAATGACCTTTCTCGGTGAGTATTGTGAGGTATGCCTTACTTCTATAGTATAAAGTTGACACCAAGTATAATTCTAATGCCCACTATTTAAAAGAAATATTATAACAATATCAACATTTCAAATAATCATAAAATTATATTAGTCAATATTTTTACATTTAATTATTTTACACAAGTGCTAAGTTATACCTAATTTTTATTCTTAAATTTAAAAAATGCACCCAAAGCCTTCCCCGAGTCTTATGATGACCTAAACTTCTTCTCATTCCTGTCCAAAACAAAGTTTTCATAAGCGAATCACACGAGTCCCTAGAAGATAAATAAGGACTAATATTTAGAAAGTTTTGTATAATTTCTCTGGTTTCCTGAAGCATTAGTTGATTCATACGATTGAGGATCAATTTTTTATTTGAAACCAGTGTTTAAAATCAACTCAAACAAAATATTTGGTCCCTGACCGAGATGATTTACTCGAGCGATTTCAAGATACTTTCGTAACTTCACATGAGTAAATCCTTAACACAAAGAATTTGATTATTTTCACAAAATAACGGCTGATCTTTGGAGAAATATGACATACAGGTTTCATTTGTAGACTGAAATGTGCCTCGATATTTGCATTAGATTCTGCATTGAAAGAATTTACACACGACACAAGATGATCATCATAGGGAATAAGCGATATGGAATTCCTGAAAAGTTGGGCCATTGTAGTGCACTTTTTCCTCGACCGAGAGGAGAGGCTTTATGTGCCCCACAAAAGCAAAGGTGTATCCCTCCCAATCCATCAACCATGTCAGGCTTCGCAAGGGTTTTCATTTGCTTTCGTACACAACTCCCTAGTAACACACAAGGAATCTAGGGACCACGAGTTAAGGACTACTTTAGGGTGGTGGCTACCTAAAATTAATTGTAAATCATAGAGAATCGCCCGAATCAGACCGAGTGAATCAAAATCAATTCCCTTGATGCCGGAGTCCAAAATTTGATCACTGCTTAAAAGAGAGAGATCCAGGTGAGACCACTTTGTCTCTCTATACCTCATAGACTTATAGACATGACCACTATGGATCACTTTGTATTTCTTAATAAAACCGAGGACACAAGTTCATATCCGTACATTCAAGTATAAAGAAGTGATCCGAAGCCGCCGACACCGACCCTTGTATGTTTGAATCGCCCACCTTTTCTATCCCCCACACAACACCACACCACACCACAACCACTCATGCACTACCAAACAACTCACATTCCTTCTTTTATATAATCTTCCTTTTTTTTATCATTTTCTTCTTTGTATATATGTATATATACTACTACTACTATTGCTAGTCCTCGTAGGCTTGATTGTATGAGGTTGAAAGGCATTCGGCCATGAAATAAGAAGAAAGCACACCAAGGAAGAAACCCTAGTTTGTTTTCATGAATTTTGTGGCATATTTTTAGTGGTGGTGAGCTGTGAGATCTCCAAGTTTGCAGGGGTTTTTGGTATGGGTCTGTCTTCTCTCCAAGTCTGCATGGATACTGCAGAGTGGTTGCAGGTATTCAGCCATCTCTCTCTCTCTTTCTCTATTCTCACATGAGTAAGACATAGGATCTGGGGAAAGATAGATTTCTCACACATCATCCTCTTAAAAACCAGGCGGTATTTCGATTTCTTCTTTCAGTGCAAGTGGTAAGCCATAGGATCTTTAAACTGATCCTGTTTTTTTTTCTAGGGAGACACACACATAGAGAGAGAGAGAGAGTGAGAGAGAGACGCGACAGGATCTCTAGATTAATCATGTTGTGTGTGCGTGTGTGTGTGAGAGAGAAGCAACGGGATCTCTGGATTAATCGTGTTAAGTGCGTGTGCGTGAGAGAGAGAGAGTTCACAGAATCACTGATTAATCATGTTGTGTGTGTGTGCGAAAGAGAGAGAGAGAGAGGTCACAGGATCACTAGAATAATCTTCTTGTGTGTGTGTGAGTGAGAGAGAGAGAGAGGCGTTCCTTTTTTTCTTATGGATTTGGCCCTTTTCCTAATTATTCTATTCGAGTATTACGTTAATAATTTAGAAATTTGAATGTTCAAAAATAAAAATTTAGAAATTATCTGCTAATTTTTATCTCTCACGGTTCGAAAATGAAATATATAACCTTTCTTGTCTCAATTATTCCCCTTCTATAATTTGTTTCAGTTTACACAACCTTTTAGCCCCTCTTTTAATCGCGCTTGAGAGCACAAGAAAAAATTTACACCAAATAAAATGGCGTGGAAAAAACAATGGCAAATGTTTTGGTACCTCTTGGCTTTATATTCCCCCAAATTTCATAAGGTAATGAGAATTGGATCTTATTTTTGGTATTAACAATGATTCTAGACATGAGATGAACCATTTATTAGGTAATTGCTCTAATTAACTTAATAATTACACGCATGATAACGATAACACTTTGAATTTCGGCTTAATTTTTTTTTTCGTTTTCTTTGTGGGGTGAATAGCTTAATTTTTCTTCTTAAATGTAAACACATACAAAGCGCCCATACACTTTATCCATGTATGGTGCATTGACAAGTGGATCTCATAAACATTTTTTTAATTAAAGTTGATTGTATATTGTACATACATCAAAATACACCAAATTTTTCAACAATTTAACAGTTTTTCCATTTCAACATCCCAACACCAACTCATAGTCATTTGTATTTTGATGAATATTTTGAAATTAAATAAAAAGGTATGGATGATATTAAGTAATTGATCATTTTTGTGTAATTTGATAAATTTTCTTTGAATTAAAGTAGATATAGAAAACCAACCAAAACAAAGTTGGCCTTTGGCAAAAATATTTGAATGCAGGATCGCACAAACATTTTCCTAGTTTCAGAATTTCAATTGCTCTTGTGAATACTAAATGATGTTGATTAGACAAATAAGTATCACATTTGGAGTTCTCATTGTGTCATTTTTGGCCAATATTGAGATTAGTATGTGTAAAACAAGAGATTAGTATGTGTAAAACAAGTATCTAGCCAATAATTCCTAGTGTGGTTTTGTTTTCTCGATGCTTTGTCATTTCCAACTCCACTCCAGATTTACAATCCAATAATTGCACTAAATACCATAATTTGCTTCTTGCAATCCATCTCTCTCTATATATATATATAGATTTTACAATTAAATATTTGGAGTTTTGCTCGAAGTACCACAGTTTGTACCTAGTACCTGTCCTAAGTACAACAGTTTGCACCTAGCACCTGTCCTATGAGATTTCATATCACTTTCTCGCTCTCTCTCACACACACACATACACTCACTTGTACCACAATTTGCACCTTGCACTTGTTCTAGGATTTCTCTCTCTCACACACACACCGATACGCACTCTAGATTTTACAATCAAATGCTTGCACCAAGTGCCACAATTTGCTCATTGATTTACTCCTTGCACTTGTTCTATGAGCTCTCTCTCTCACTCTCTTTCTCTCTCTCTCTCTCTCTTCTATGTGTTCCTGGAAAGGACACTAGCACACGCCCATTGAAATTTTCAACCAGGCCATTCTCATCTTCCAAAATTTTGAGATCTCTCCTTTCCATTTTATTAGGGTGTCATCAATGAAGATCGAACAGGCGGTTCACCACCATTAGAGGAGATGATTAGTTGCTCTAGGCCCCCTCTAGAGAGAAGACTAAGGCCTCAACCTGAGCAAGCCCTCAAGTGCCCCAGGTGTGACTCAACAAACACCAAGTTTTGCTACTACAACAACTATAGCCTCTCCCAACCAAGATATTTTTGCAGAACTTGTAGAAGGTATTGGACAAAAGGTGGAACACTAAGAAATGTACCAGTTGGTGGTGGTTGTAGAAAGAACAAAAAGCTCTCAGTAAAAAAGCAATTGGACCCAGTACCTCAAAACCCATCAATCCCATTAAACCATCATGGTGACATGAGTGTAACTGATCTCCAACTTTCCATTTTGGGGAACCCTAGAAATGACAATGGAATAATGGCCACTAGCCCTGCAAAATATGCTCTCTCTTTGTTGGGAAACCCTAGAAGTGAGGTTGGTTTTTATGGGACCATGAAGCCTTTTGATGGATTATGTGACATGGGACATGTTGGTGGCCAATCAGACCCCAATCTTTTGATGGGTGCTCAGAGTTTCAATTACCCTTTTGAGTTTTCATTGGAAGAAGTGAATGGTGCTTATGGCGGATCATTTAGTGAAAATGGTATGAGTGAGAAGATGGGGTTTGGTTATAGGGCTGGTGAGGGTATGAACCAGGTTGATATCAAATCTAGAGTTTTGAATTTATATGGTGGTGTTTTCCCAAAGGCTGAGGATTCAAGTAGTGGGGTGTTGGCCCTAGATTGGCAAGAGCATGGGCTTTTTGAGCCAGGTAGGCCCACATGTGGGCCCTCTGTTTCAGCATACCCATTGGTCTGAGATTCAAGTTCAGTTGGTCCAAATTTCAATCTCATTTGGTTTGAACCCAAAGTCCATTTGACCAATTAATGGTACAGTATTAATGCCTTCCACCTTAATGCTGCCCCTACATTATTCTTAATTAAGGAGCCAAATGGTTTTCTTGCTAATTTACATGGCAATTCTTTTTCTTATTTTCCCATTAGATAGGTGTATCAGGTGTTTGTGGAGGAACAAAGGGACGTGTTTGTAGATGAGTGTGATTGTTTTCCCTTTCTTTTTCTTAGCCTTGGAGTGTGCTTTGGCTAATAATTTTTGTCAATATGCACTTCTTTCCTAAGTGCATGGACTTATTACTGTAACTTAACAATATTGTCTGTTATTTAGTAAATTTCCTTTTTTACATGAAGATATCAAATGTCATGAGATTGAGCTTTCTTTTTTTCTTTTGGGGTTGGGGGGTAAGGGAAGTTCTTGCACATGGGATGTGGAAATAAAGTTGGACGAATATGCCTTAGTCTCAACACCAGTCGCTCTCTTTAGTTTTCAATAATGACCTAGGCACTGAATCATGAAATCATTCCAACACCCCGACCCCCCACCCCACTTCTATTTTTAACTTGGGACCTGGTGAGACTCTATACCTGTCGAGCATTACAAACAGATTCTCATAATAACTAGTAAATAAATCACAAATAAAATGAAATTTAATTCAGAAAATAAAAATAAACCACAATTCAAGTGTTCAACACAATCTAAAAGAAAAAGTTTATATAGAGCCAAGGTTCTAAACAATGAAATCAGAACCTACCTCAAAAAATTCACTAGAAGAGGTTGTTTTGATGCCCAAATATCCCAAAATTGATCATCTTGACATCAAGATGCATGGCAAGTCTTGAGAATACTGCATGTTGTAATGCATTTTTGGACCGTCAATTTTTCAAGATTTTCATAGATCTGCTTGCTCTATACTATTTTTGAAGCTTTAAATTTTATAATTAAAAATGAAAATATATTTTAAATCTAGATTGAGACCACATTTCTCGACACTATTTGAAGGTGGGCTCTACTTTGATTGTTAAGAGCCTCGGCTCTATACAAACTGCACCCCAAGCTAAATCAGCAATATATTTTTTTGTAGGGAAAAATAGTTTTATCCAAAACAATATTATTTTTTAGAAGGTATAAAAACAAAAATTTCATAAAACACGAAAAAAGGTTATTAAACTTTCCCAAAAAAAAAATAGAGGCTATTAATAGAAAAGATTTTTTTTAATCAATTTTTACAAAGCTGTAAAAAACGTGTTTTTTTGTCAATCTATTGAAAAATGCATAGACGATTACATTTTTTTTTTAAAATGCCAGCTGTTTGAAAAATTCGTGTTTAAAACGCTGACCTGCTAACTATGGGTGCTAACTATGGGTGAGAATGAACTCTTGACATCATGTTGTGGCATCGGACACCCGAACCACTACTGCATGGAGCCCATTCTCTAGATCATTTCCCATCATAAATTTATTCAAATTATGCTTATCAGGGGAAATTACTTATAATAAGTAGGCCTTCCAGTAAATCATCGGATATCTTTGGTACATGGTATCAGAAAAAGAAGGTAGGTTAGAGCAAATGCTACGTGTGTATCATGTACAATATGTTGGTTGGGTCCACCAAAACCAACGAATTAAGAATAACTATTTGAAGGGGATGCACTATCCAATGTGATCAGTCCCACAAAATATGTAAGTTAGGCATCGGTTCATTAGATCAACCAATAAAATTAGATTAAGCAATGAACTTATCCAATTTTGGCTTATCAATTACTAGAAAATAAGTAGACTGCTTGCTAAATCATTTGATAAATCTTAGTATGTGGTATGCAAAATCATGAGAAACAGAAAGGTGGTTGGTCAGAATATTGCTCGATATGAAAGAGATATGCTATACGTGCACCATGTGTAATAAGTTAATTTTGGATCCATTAAACAAAAGATTGAAGAATACACAGAAAAGTAATTTGTGCAAATGTGTAGTAGAATCACTCTCTTTGGGATATTCGACGACGCACTTATTGGTGTTTGTGTTGTCATGACACACAAACTAAGTAACTAAGTGTTTATGCGTCATGACCAATTAAATGTTTGGGATATTAGATGTTGGACTTCGAACTGCTCAAACATTTAGTTTGTTTTTGTATGAAGACTGATTATGAAATTTTAACTTTTAAACTACTCAATTGCGTAATTTTTTCTATTTTCCTAACACTTGGTTTTTTGTTTGAAAGTTGTACTTTCAAACTTGGAGTAAAATACAAATAAAAGAACTATTATCAGCAAATGTTCAAAGTCATTCTTTAATATTAAAACTTCTTTTGGATTTGTTCATAAATTTCTCTCTCTCTCTGTGTCTCTGTCTCTCTCTTTTTTTATTTGTTTCGACTTCTACACGAGGTGTCTATTTAAATGGGACTGATGCGAGTATTCTTCGCAAATATGCATGCGAAAACCTACGTAACATACATTACTTTGAAAGGAGGAGGTTGGCCTTAGCTAAGTGATATTAAGCACTTCAATTTTTAGAGGAAAACGTTAAAATAAGGTCTAGATCTTGTGTAAAAAAACTAAAAGCCACATCTCAAATATCATTAAAAATTACAGTTCTAGTGTCGGAAAACTTTCATATCGATCATCTCAATCTTCACCGTTATATATGTGAAAAAAATTAAAGATTTCAAGCTTAAAAATAGTGTATATTACAACACATGTTGTAGAACATCCATTTTCAAATGTTCATAGCTCGCAAGATTTGTACATTTTTTGTGAGCAAATTTCATAATTTTTTGTGGAAATAGATTCTGGAGTCATCATACGAATTTCTCATGCCCGAAGTATTTTTCCAAATGAGATTTTTGAAAGGACTTTATGATAAAGTACAATGTAGATATATAGAAAATTCTTTACCCCTACACCGGCAAGATCACCTACAATGTCTAATTATAATCTAACCACTCTTGAAATAAATAAAATAAAAATAAAATCGGTTCTCAATTGCTACATTTTCAAATACAATTCTTCATTCAAGAAACAAAGCTAGACTTTATTGCTTTATAGGAAGATAAGTAAATATTTAAAAAGGTAAAATTGCCGGAGATTACCTCAACCGGGGTTAATACACCCCACGCCGAGTCTCCTCCTTCCGATGGTACTCGGGATCGAGTCTCTTCCTTCCGATGGTGTTCGGGATCTATGATCGGTATGTTGATTTCTCTACTATAGCAAAAATCCACTCAATGACTTAATCTTGATCAAGTCTCTTAGCTTGATTTTAAAGAGATGAGAGATGAATATGAAGAGAGAGGGAGAGATCTACTAGCAAGGGGTTCCACCCCTTTGCCACCCATAAAAGGTATAAGTGATGTGTACCACCAAAACAAAGTGCAACTTGGAGAGAGATAAAAATTGGGGCGTACCTCCCTATAGTAATCCAACTTACCATGGTAATCCAACTTACCCTATGGTAATCCAACTTAGAGAGAGATAAAAATTGGGGCATGCCTCCCTGTGGTAATCCAAAGCCCTTTCTAGAGAGAGCTAAATTTGGGGTAGAGAGAGAGAATTCTTAAAAAGAGAGAAGAGAATACGTATCTCATAAAATGAAGGGAGACTTCCTTTTATAGATTTTTTGTGCCATAGATTTTACCTCAATTCGTAGAGTCAAATCTCAACCGTCGATCTAAGGAGACTTGTGAGGTAAGAGATTTGAGTTATTCATCTCTTTGATCCACCATCAAGATTCAAAGAGATGAGTTAGAGCTTTGTCATCCATTTCCTAAATCTATTCTCATCAAACAAGGAAAACTTATATTTTAATATATTCAATCCTTAATTATTAGATCAACCAATCTTGATTAAAAAATTTAGTAAATATTTTAAATATTCAACATTATCACATAAGTTGGCTATACCTGAAAAGATAAGCCAACCAAAAGGATAAACATTATTCTTACGTCAACGGGTGGGGTGTGCCCCCCTTTTGGTGGCCACGTGTAGGCCCTACCTAATCCACATCTTTTAAAATTTTGGGCCCATATTTTATGGAGCTCCCATATATTTTTAGAAAATATTTCATTTCATTTTTAAAATTTTTAAATCTTATATTTTATTTAAAACATTGAAAAATTAATTTATTTTAATTTATAAATCCAAATGATAAAAATAAAATATTGTAAGATTCACAAAAATTCAAATAAAGATTTTAAAAATCATTTAAAATTAATTAATTTTGATGGGAATCGGATCCGTTAGATCTAGAAAATTATCTTTATATGGGAGCACTCCACCTTCAACTGCGAATCAAGATCCGTCGAGGTTTCTCAAACTGACCCAACAGTTCACATGACCCACATTCCAATGCAGGGGCTCATGATTGAACCACCAAATGACAGCCAATAGACTAAAGGATGCAATCCCAATTTATGGATTTTAGGTTCTCTCCTAAAGACAAAAATCATGATGCAACCATGACTCTATGGTGCATAGGGTTAATCTCTCACATATGTATATGTTTCACCCTCATTGGTGAGTTTCAAAACGGCTATTTATGTAGATGCCGTATGATGATATAACGATGAGGTTTTAGCCTTGTCTCTAAAGGATATTCATTACACGTACGCGTCACACAGTCCCTTGGCTCTCATCTGGGCATACTATAACTTCATCAAGGGACAACCCACTAAACCCTTATCGGTAGATCCCTATGCCCATGTAACTTTGGTTTTTCCAAACCTCAGCTGGCCTAGCTCGTCAAGCCTAGTCTGAGTATCAACAAATAACATTTGCCTAGTATGGTTCACAAAAGGACCACACTCCCACTGAGTTTATGTTCCACTATATAAAATATTCATACAAGCTCTTATAAGGCCTTTAAAGGCCATGTAGACCCAACAATTTTGAGGTGAGGTTTTGCTTCTTTTCATAAGGGCTACGCACTATAGAAACTACATCTAAATTTAAATTTTAAGAAAAAGGTGAAAACAAGTATGCCAGTTTTCAAAAGGAAAAATATACAATGAGACTGTTTATCTTTGGTACAAGGCTATCACAATTAACCTCACCATTAAATATGAAATTAGATGGTTGCATTTATTCTATTGACCAAACTTAAACTTCAAAAGAAATTTTTTCGAACTTTGTGATACATCCATGCTATCAGATTTCACATAAGATGGTTGTAAATAATTGTGACCACCTTGCATCAAATATAATTGTTTCATTTTATACAATCCCTTTTCAATATGCTGCCTTGCATTAACGTATAGACTCTGCGAAGGACCATATGCATGCACATCTAGGGCTATCCATGGGTTGGGTAGTGAGCAGGCCACTCTAGGGCTGGCAGATTAGGCTTGGAAA